CTGAATCAGGGACACTGTCTCCTGCGCTGGTGTCCGTGACCTCCCGTGGGGGATAACCCCTTGTGTCCCGCCCTCCATCCCTACCTGCCGTGCTCTGCTCTTGCCCCGCCAAGGAGAAAATCGCTTATATTGTTCAAATGCCTCTGTCACGGGGCCGGGTGAATGTGGTTGTGCAACCCAAAGGGCTTTTCAGTGTTTATCCCTGCTCAGCCAGAGAATATCTTTATTGAGCTTCCCGCTCTCCTGATTTGCATCAGCCTAACATCAGCTCCTGGTTTGGGGTTTTGCTGTGTCTGTTCCCCGCTGGAGCATCTGCTCCCACCTGGCATCCCAGCTTTCCAGAGCTCATCCCGCTGATACCGGAGACGTTTGGCCCATGGGCACGACGTGGCCCTGCCGGAGCATCCCTCCCTCCCCCCTGAGCCCTTCCCCGGGGCAGCCCAGCACAGGCTGGAGAGAAGGGAAATATTTCTGTGGTTGCATCAGGGTGTTCCTGGCTCCCGCCTTTTCCGCGGATGCTGGGAGCTCGTGCACCGCTGGGGCTTCCCCAGCTGCTCTCAACGCCCTGCCTTCAGCTCTCTGGCCTCCCCAGACTTTTCCCCGAGGAACTGCTTTCCCTGCGTGCGTGTGCTCACAGGTGACATCTGCTGTGCCGTGCTCGGGGCTCATGGTGTGCCGAGCCCTGCGGGGGCCTGGGTGTCCCCAGCTTCCCCCACTGCGTCCTCTGCTCGCGGAGCTGCTGGGGATGGCACCATCCCTGGCGAGATGTGCCTTCCCGGGGGGCCTGATCCTGTGCAAAACCTGCTGGAAAACCCTGCTAAGGGCACTTCACCCTGCCCTGGGGAGATGTTTGGGTGGAGGCAAGTGGTGGAGTCCAACATGGCGAGGGAGGAGGAGAGGTGACCGTCACGGAGGTGACCCAGCTGGGTGCAAGGGAGGCTCAGCCCTGTGGTGGTGGCTGGTGACCTCTTTTCCTTCGAGGTGTAATTCCGGGGGCTCCTGACATGCTCCTGGCTGGGAAAGGCATCGCTGGGGTTTGCACACACAGGTGTCTGCCCTGTGTCTGAGCTGGGTCCCCACATGTTCCCATGCCCAGCCTGTGCACCAAGACACCCATAAACCCTTCTGGGTCACGGCAGAGTGACATTCCCCTTGGGGAATCATTTGCATCAACTTCTATTTAAGTGAAGCAAACAATGAAACAAAAGGAAAAGCTTTTACACCCCCAAACGCCTGCTCATTTCTCCTCACCGGTCTTTGTTCACCGCGCTGTGCTGGGGCGAGCCGGGACAGGCCCTCGCCGAGGGCGCTGCGAGGGCTGCGCGGTGCCGCTGCCCCGGGCAGTGCCGCCACCGCCATCCTGGGGGTGGTGACGGGCCTGTTCCTATCCCAGTAACAGGATTTATATCATTTTTTTTTTTCCTTGTGCAGTGTCCAACATGGTAAGTTTTGGGAGGGCTCGCACATGCTCAGCAGTCTCACCTGCAGTGCAGGAGGTGGGCAGGATTCATTTTGGGCTGGAATTGGAGCTTTCCTGGATTCCTGTTGTCTGGGGGATGCTGGAGCAATGGTGTCCTCGCAGCCCTGGGCTCGGTCCTTACTGGGCTGCATCTGGCCGTGACCATCTGAGGATGACATTCCTGAAGGCAAGAGCTCAGCGGCTGGAGCCCTTGTGCCTGATGGGGACGGGTGGTGTCCCCAGGAGGGGAACAGGCATGGCCTCCCCAGCTGGATCTGTCCTCCTGGAGGACCCCAGTGCCGATGCAGCTGCATTTTGCAGAAATGGGATGGTTTGGGTGAGATGCTGGAAGACTTTGCTGTGATGGGGAGGGAAGGAATAGGCTTGGAAATGTCCTGACGGGCTCTAGTGCTGCCCTCAGTGGTGTCCAGCTCCCAACAAGCTTTCTTTTGCCATGCCTCCTTAGCTACAAGTGATCTTGAACCTGCTTGAAATACTAATGGCTGTTAATGAGGCAGGGCGGGCGCTGGGCTCGTCTCCGCCTGGCAATGCATCGGGAGAGCTGGGTGCTGCTGCGGGAGCATCTCCTGGGTGCCTCTCCCCACCCCGGTGCCACTTGTGGGGGGCTTGCGGGTGGCACCGGGATTTGGGGGAGAAGGGGAAAAGGAGATTGGGAGATAGCCAAACCCCTTGCAGTCATACCTCTTTTTAACACTTAAGAACTGTATTTGTAGGGTAATTCCTGTTGGCAAGGACCTCTGGAGGTCTCTGGTCCACCCCCCCCCACTTAACTTTGAGGCTAAAGCAGGCTGTGCGGAGCCTCAGCTGGGTGAGATTCAAAGCTCTCCAAGGATGGAGATCACACCACCTACCCAGGCCCATGTGTCACCACCCTACACAAAGAATTACTGTCTTTATACCCAGATAGGATTTTTCCCCTTACTTGTTGCCCCTCATCCTTTTGCTGGGCATCTCCATCTCTCTCTAACCACTTGGGTCCCATCAGGGCCATGAGTAGCTCCTTCAGCTTCAAACTCTTCCCTGTTTGGCTGGATGACATCATTGGCAGGTATGTGGTTTTTTGGAAGCGGAGCCATTGATACACTCAGCATAGTGACAATGGCTTTGCAAGGTGCAAAATGTGTTCATGTTGCTTCTGGCTTGCTCCACCTGCAGCCCAGCTGAGCTAGGCAGCACCAGCCAGGGCTTTCTCTGCCTCAGTTATAAGGTGGTTTTCTTCCCCCCTGTTTTTTGTTGAGGTACAAATTCAAGTTGCCTCAAAAAATCTCAAGTTTCCTCTGAAAAACTGCGAATCAATTGGGGGAAAATTAAAATCGATCCTTGTGGAAATGAGAACCTCCCGTGTACGTTCTCTGCAGAAGTTAGACATCCAAAAAAAATCAAGGTCAATAGTTGTAAACACCCTTAGGGAGGGAATGAGCATGTCTGGAGCGGCTCGGTGTGGTCTCCTGGGCTTTGGGTGGGTGGGCTTTGTAACTGCAGTTGGTGGCAACCTGGGCTACCTCCTCTGCGGTGGAGCTGGGACCTTTCAGCGTGGGCAGCTGTCTTCTGGCTGGTCAGGAGCTGATGGGTGCGCTTCCGTGTCTAGGAAGGATCAGCCCTTGGTAAAGTTCTGCTACGTGCCTCTTGGCTGCTCCGCTGGGTCTTCCAGCGTCCCCATCGCTGTGGCCACAGGGCTGTGGCCTCGCTGGTGCTGTACGCAGGAGAAAACCCAGCTCTCCTGGGCGTCTCCCATCCCCAGGCGTTGCATTGTGGAGCCCTCACTGAGCTGACTGACCTCAAGGTGGAGAATGAATACTTTTCCATTAAAAAAGAAAATGGCACTTTTAAATTTTTCTCCTTAGAATACCTTAGGTGGAAGGGGGCCTCTGGAGGTCACCGGGTCCAATCTCTGCTCGCAGTGGAGCTGGCTTTTAAGTTATCCTTCTCAAGTTGGGGCTTTTCTTATTTTTCCTTCAATAAATCTCAGGAGAACAAAGAACCTGGGGCACAGGGTGCTTCTCCTGCTGCTCTCACCAGGCATCCCTAGAGCCTGGGATGGGTTATCTCCCTCCCGTCCGCTTGCTGATTTGCATCGCGTGGTAATTTCGCATTTATTTCCGAAAAGCCCCGTGCCTGTTCCAGTGGGGAACAGAAGCGCTTCTTCAGCTGATGCTTGTTTATAGAGCATGATCCTGTTATGACAAGTGCCGGAGGGACCAGAGATGAGAATAAACTGAATATTATAACCCTGCAAACTGCAGGCTGAGCTGGCGGATGTGGAGCTGAACCCCACCGGGCTGCGGGATCGGGATTTCCAGGCAGAATGAGCAAGAGACGGGGTGGCCTGGTGCAAGGTTTCCCTAAAATATGGGGACATTGGAACATCCTCCTTCCCTTTCCTAAGTAAGAATGGATTTGAGGAATGGGTTTTAAAAGCAAAATGCAGATTGCAAAGAGCAAGTGCTTTGCATGTAGATGTTAAAGAAAAGGCACAGCTATGCTGTAATGCAAAGAAAAAGGCAGGGGGTGGGGAGGGAGGGTTTAAAAGAACTTGAGTGGAAACAAATTACCAAAATCACACTAACGGCAGTAAAGTCGTTGAAATGACATTGTGGCATAAAAGGCAGAGCAAAACTAATTAAATATTTAAAGCTCGTAAGAGGCACTAGCATATCTCAAGGTATTAAGTGTGATAAAGATGTAAGTAGTTGTCATCATCTGCTTCAGTATCTGGTCTGGACAAACCTGTTTGCTTTCCCCTGTCCGGTTGCAGCCAGCCCTGGTCTGGCCTTGGGGACATCCCCCTGGCCCTTGGGTCACACATGGCCTCAGGGACATCACCCTGGCTCCTGGGTCGCAGGGGCGCGGAGCATGGCTCGCCCTGGTCCTGTGAGCCAGGCACAGGGACCGCCACCGGCTCCCTGCAGCATCCAGCTCCTGGCCATGGGATAGTTTTTTTGCAGGAAAGAAAACCAGCCTCAGAGAAAAGGGGATTTATAGCAGAGACCCAATTTGTACCAAAATTGTCTGACCTGGGAGCTGCATGCCAGTAAGCACAGCTTTTGGATCATTCCCATCCCTAAGGCTGTGAATCCCCATGGGATGTTCATCAAGCAGTGTCTGGCTGAGATTGCCCGGTGTCTGGCTGAGATTGCCCGGCTCCTTGCATAGCCCCAGGACTTTATCCGTGCTTTTGGGATGGAAAAAGAGGAGTCCCGGCAGAGATGCCGGGATGAGAGGGCTGGAGGCAGTGCATCTGCCCTGGGGCTTGGCAGGGTGGCGTGGCTGGCAGGGTGTTTTCCTGCAAATGTGGGATATTTCAGCTCCGTGCAAGATAAAAAAGGGGCAAAAACTTGTCAAAGAGGAGCGTGGGGCTTCCCTGAGCTGAAGGGAGCCAGTGGGGCTGCCTTTCCCAGCTTGCCTTTGCTCCCAGGCTGCGCTTGCTGCTGGGGAGGGACTCTAGACTGGGGCATGTGTTATCCATCGCTTGGGAGGGATGGGTGGTTTGCTTGGAGATTTTTTTTTTCTTTTTGACTCCTTTTGCTGCCATCCCTGACTCCAGGCTAAGCACATTTATATTCGGAGCATCCCAGGGCTAGCAAGGATCGCGTTCACCTCTCCTTACGGGGCTGTTCTTGCTGGTGGGGCGAAGCTGGAGCGTCGGGTGGGGAAAAGCAGCACCATGAGGCACAGCTCTCCTGGCTCTGCCGCAGCTGCTGAGCTCATTTTTAGCTCATTATTTCTGCTTGGGAGCTGATGGAAGACAGTTTGCAAAGATGCATTTAATGGGCGAAAATTCATAAAAATGTTTTCCGGGCTCTGTTGTGCCACTGCAGCGTCCGGCCACCAGCCCTGTTTGCCACGGCGGTGGCACCGGGATTAGTGCCAGCATCCTGCATCCCCCCCCGAGCCCCGGCTTTGCCAGGGAGCTTTGTGTGAGCAAGGGGTTTGCGGCGTGGGGCACGGCTGCACCAATGCACAAAGGGATGCTGCAGCACTGAAATGGGGAGCAACCATGGGAAAAGCTCATTTTTTAAAAAAGAACCCTCTCTTTTTGCAGATTGGGAGCTTGGAAAACTACTACCACTTTCACCACAGCAAGACATTTAAGCGCTCGACGCTGAGCAGCCGGGGACCGCACAACTTCCTCCGCATGGACCCCAAGGTACGGGGCCGGGCAGCCCGGGGTCCCCCAGCCTCTGTGGGGACAGCGGGATGGGGGTCCCCGCTTCCCCCCAGAGGAGTCGGTTGGCTTGGTCTGGGTCAAGCATGAGCCCAGGCATCTTACGATGACATGTTACCCTTGAGCCACAGCCCTGTGCATGCACGGGGTGACTCACTGGGCATGGGTATGTCGATCGGTGATGAAAAATACTTAGAAGTGACTAAATGCTAACATCTGCCTGAAAGCCGGGAGGAAGAAAAGGGAGGGAAAAAGAGCCTTCCAGGATAGAAAGGCTGTTGCATGCTTGGGGTGTTGATCCAGTTGCCACAACACTTGCTGCCTCAATGGTTGCTATGTGCGAAAGCCTTGGCAATAGCTCTGCATTGCTTTTTCCTAGAGCAAGCATCCGAAGGGATTTTCCACGCAGCTGAATTGACAAAAGTAATGGAGGGGGGGGAAGAAGGCAAGGAGGGACAGGCGGGACCTGGGTGAGCTGGGCTCAGGGTGGCGGGGAAGGGCTGCAGCTCTGCCTCGGCTTTTCTCCTCCCTGAGCTCCGCCCGGTGCCCGAGCCCTGCGAGACGCTACTTCTGCAGAGCAGGGGAAGGGTTAATGTGTGGGGAGGGTCTGTTTTTTGGGGAGAGGGGGAAATAAATGCAGAAAAAGCCATTGCAATGACGGTACCCATGCTACAGCGAGCTGCTGGTGCTTGCACTGATGCTCCTGGCCACCCTTGGGATGCTCCCGGCCGCCCTTGGGATGCCCTCGATTCCCAAGACATTTCCAACCCACCCAGCACAACACATCCCATCCGCATCTCTCCAGACCCACACAGCAGCCCTGCTTTCCCCAGCCAGCCAGCTTTCCAGAGAGATTTGCTGTTAAATATTTGGACAGGGTCTGTAGCACATTTCTGAGGAGGCACGCGTGTGGCTGCTGCCGGCGGGGGAAACTTCAGCAAGGGGAGCATCGGTTCCCTGGAAGTGTGCTGGGCTCTAATTAAAGCTGTTTGCCCTCGGGGAGGTGCACAGGCATCCCAGCAAATGATTAATTCAGCTCTGCAATTGAAATACCTCCATTTGAATGAGTCTAGTTATAATGCAAACCAAACCAATTGGCTTTTAGTCTTATTAACATTTACCTTGCCTTGCTCTATGGACTGCAAGCTACAGCAATTAGCTCCTGTTCTCTTAATCCTTCGTTATCACTCAGAGTTCAAGACCTCTTGGCATGTGTTGTCTCTCACCCTCTCCTGTGCACCTTTGCAAATCATTTTGGAGATGTCTTGGCATTTGGACGGCAGCAGCTTAGCATGTGCGATGCAGGAAGACATCACCGTGAGGCACAAGGAAATGCAAACTGGAATAGCAAAGATGGAAACAAATCTTGCAGAAATCCCAAAGAACCAGCAAATTCAATCATTTGCAGATGTTGGGTGGTTCGTGCCTTCCAGGAGCTATTGTTTCCAGCGCCATTATTTATCGGTTTGCTCTGCCGCAGGGGTTGGTGGCATGAGGGCTGGGCATCACCCGAGCTCCTGGTCCCCGTGGGACCACGCTGCTGCCGAGCTCCCCTCTTGCCCCGAGAGACCCCGTGGCCAGTGGCTGCTCCGTTTGGGGCTGCTATGAGCCAAGCGACGTGGCAGGTGATTGAAGGGCAAGAGAGATAGAGCAAATGCAGCAATTTTGGGGGCAGGTCGTGGTGGCAAGAGTAAGAAAGAGGCGTGGAGGTGCAATGGGATGCAGAGCAGGGTGATGCCATGCTGTGCCGCCCCTCGTACACGCTCATCTTGCCGCTCTCATCACCGTAAACTTTCCAGCTCGCTCAGATGCTCCTGTTGGTCCTCACAGTGCTTGAGCCTTCAGCCTCGCTGCTCCGGTCTCTTAATTCTCATCAGAGGATGTCACGGCCTCAGTCCCCGTGCCTCTGGCCATGTACCATAGCAAGCAACCCCACCTAAATTATTTCTGCCATGCTTTATGGCGAACATGTGCTGGAGCCATCTGGTTTGTCCTGGATCTCTGCTTTAATTCCTGCACATCCACTGGAAGAAGTCAAGCTATTGCTTTTCTGGAGCTGCAAAGGGAGTTGCATCCTCGCCTGTGCTGGTTTTTGTGTTTGGTGGAGCTACCCTGGGTGGCTGGATCCGGGCATCACCCACTGAAAATCTCAAAGTAAGGGGGAACATAAAAAGCTGCCCCTCTGTTTCCAGCAAGGGTGAAGGGTTCGGCTCAATGATACCTGTGCCTCCTCGCAGGGTCCTCTGGTGCCACTCGTAGTCACCTCGTTATTGCTAGTGAGGGTTTGCAGGGGTAGAGCAGGGACGCCCCAGGCTCAGGACTGTGTTGTAACAGTTTTGGCCATTTCTAGTAGCAAAAAGACTTTTTTTTTTTTTTTTTTTTTTTTTTTTTTACTTTTCGGACAAGCTTCCCCCCCGCGC